ACCTGCTTCCGCGGGGCAGCTCCCGACTTGCCTGAAACTCTGCAGCTACCGGGTTCGGGAGTGCAGGCCACTGCGGGCCCCCTGCCGGGCTCATTGTCACTTACCCCAAGGGAGGAGAAGGAAGGGACTTCGCCTACTTGCAACGCGGCAAAATAAAAACCAACCCACACCGGACTGAGAAGCGTTCTCTGACGGGAGGAAATGCTCTTTTCCTAGGAGATGTATGTTACGAAGCATTGAGCAGTCTGCAGATCGGCTGGCCTGGGAAGGGCCTGGGCCCCTTCCAGCGCTGGGTGCAGGTACAGGCATCCCTCCCAGACGCCCAAAGGTCAGGCAGTGATTGCTGACTTCCAAGGCAGGGCAGCTTCCCCAGGCACATTGCTGAAATGACATTTCGAGTCCAAGCCTTCGGCGTGTGGGTTATGTGTCTGTATAGGACGTTATATTCCACAGGCCACAGCAAAATACACCCATACGTTTCATAGCCATTTAATCACCTTTTCCTAAAATCTATGGTCTATTTTAGCAGCATCTTCTTTGTTACATGGATAATGTCTTTTAATTGATTGAGGATTTACTGTCAGTCACTGTATTGATCACCTATGGCACATGTGAGTTCGTTTTCAGGAGAAATCTATGATGGTCTTTGTGGTTAAACTTGTGTAAAAGACGAGGAAACCAAAGCCTAAGAAACCTAAGGATCTTTTCCAAAGAGAAATCCAGAGGGCCTAACCAAAAAGCCCCATGATTCAGCAACCAACACCCAACATTGCTTTAGATGTGTCCTGGGAGATAGCAAATGAACCAATAGAACTTATCCCCATTCAGAGAAAATCTAGATTTACTATTTTATCAGTTACATTATATCCCCCCAAATGAGAAAGGTTTCATCATCTGTTTCAGGTTGGCCATAAGAGAGTGATATGAGCACTGTCACATTCAAAAGGAAGACACAATACTAAATACTTGTAGTTTCAGTTTAGTTTTTAACGAGTAGGGCATTATCTACAAATAAGAGGCAGTAGAAAAATAGGGTTGCAAATGAAATTGATAAAGGTCCTCTTGCTGGTCTCATGACTTGCTGGGCGTTGCTTCCTGAAAATTTATTTTGGGGGGCATAGGCTCTATCAAACCTAATGTTTCCTTTTGGGATTCTCCAGGTAGAAAACGTTCTGGTTGTGGATTTTGAGTAGGGATTTGGAGTATGGTTAAGAACACATTCTGGCCTAAAGAGGAACGCCAGTTAATAGACAGCTAAACAAAATACCAAGGAGCTGATTTGGTTTATTTCTTCACTTTAGCCCAGTGAGAAAATTAAGGGTTCAGAATGTTTAGCAGCTTCCTAATAAATAGAAGACCTGAGATTCAAACCAGCCTTGAAACAACACCAGAGTATACTCCCGGCCTCTTTGATGCTGTTGGTGGTAATAGCAGTCATGGCGGTTGTGATTTTTAGTACAGTACACAGGTTACAGACTAAGTGCAAAATTAAAACATGAATCATTCGGTGTCTCGATGCTGTGTGGCTACAGCAAATACCATATATGAATTAAGACAGTGCTGAACTGAACAGTGTCTTCAAAAGTCCACAAACTTTTAATCTCATTTTGATATAAAACATTATGGGTTAGCTTTACCTCAAAACAAATGCGGGAAATGCATAATCTGGATAAAATGAAAGTAGGTACTTTAATGCAATATGTCCTTAACCCAATTTCTAGCATGTTTCATTGCTTCCTTCTAGAATCAGATTTTCAACATAGTGACCATGTCTTTGAGGTGACTTTGCTCCCACATAAGTTTTTATGCATCTACTTAAGAATGCATTTTCAGAATATCCAAATGAATTCAGAATTATGTGACAGTATTATTCAACTTATTACTACCTTCGAATAATGGTCTTAAATATTCATATATTAAATGGATACTACTGGAAGTAAAATAAAATTTCAGTTTTCAGGGTACATATAAAATAAGAAATTAATTTAAGTTGAAAGAATTTCAAGGTTATCTAGGCAAAAGTATTTTGTTTAAACAAGGCACCATTTCAGGCTTTACTATTGAATACCGTTTTTACAATTACTGCCATATCACTTGTAATAGTGTTAATATATATTCTATTTTATTAAAAAACTCATCTGATAAAGACAACTTTTTGTCTTCAACATCCCTGGAAACCCATTATAACTTGCCTTGAATAGAAAGTGGCCTTGTAAATGAATTATATTATAAAATAACAGTTATTTTTCCTGTACTGCCTAAAATTATCTCACGCCAGTGTGGCTTAAAGAATCACATCCGAACGTGTCCCTCAGGCTTTTCAAAATACATTTTCAAGCCTTTCTTCTCTTCTACTGAAGAGAAATGTTTGGGTCCAGTTTAACTTTAGAGATTATGTTTTAAATTCTGTGCTATTCAGTTATTTTTCTTCTTGAATAAAACATATTTTAAGCCTCTAAAATGTCTTCTAAAAATTAATATGTTGTTATTTTCCTTACCCTCTTGCTTGTGGTAAAATGCAAATAATTTATAAAAATGGAGTTAAAAAGCTAATGACTCTTCTGAAAGATTGTACCAGCTACCTATTATCATTTTCTTTCTTTTTCTTTTCCCCATACATGGGATTGAACAAGGTCCTTCACACTGAGTTACATTCTTGTCCCTTTCTTATTTTTAATTTTTACAGAGGGTATCATTAAGTCACTAAATTACATAGGCTGGGCTGAACTTTGCAGTTCTCCTGCCTCAGCCTCCCAGAATACTGTGAATACAGGTGCTCACTTACCCTACCCTCCACTCCATCTACTTCTTCCTTCTCCCCCTTTTCCACTTTATTTTAAGTCTTAATCATTAAGTGAAAAGCACTCCATCTCTTAACCATCTTGAGGACCGTATCTACTGGCCCAGTATTGCAACAAAGTTCTACAAGGTAATGAAAGACACCGGCAAAACAGAACAGTGGGAAAAATTCAAGGAACCTAGAAGGCAGAGTAGGGAAATTCTGAAGTTGGAAATCTGCCAACCTCCTCCAGAAGATTTTTCACAAGCACCAGCAGGTCCTAGATGACCCAAATCAAGCTATATGAATACCCATAAATGTTTAACTCAATCTAAGAAAAGATACATGGGGGAAGAGGAGAATGTGTGACTTTATAGTTGAAATTTAAGATTTGCTTATTAGCAATTTCCTTAACCCTTCCCTCTAGGGAGGGATGGCTCTACAGTTACCATTCACTATTTGTTTATTTTTCAAATGTGCATGGTACTGTTTTGGCATTCAGCATTGTATAAGTCAAATTAAACAAACAAAGTGTTCTAGGAGCTCATAATCCAAAACATAATTTTTATTTTAATTTCATTTTAAAACAATCTTAAGGGAAAAATCATACCATCGTTTTAGTAAGAACAGATTTTTAGGCTAAAGAGTGGAATAAGACACTGCATTTACCAAAAAAGAAAACAAAAGAACTGGATGTTTGGGGAAATAATCCCAAAGTAAATCTCTTGTGCACCTTTTAGTGTACCTTTGAACTCCAGCTGGAAGCATGCACAATTCTTTAAAAAAAAAAAAAATACAGTCATTCAATTGTTTCTTAGTAACTTCTAAGCCAAACCCATTGAGCTTTGGAAGAATGGGGTTCTAAAGATCAGTTTCCTTAGAAACAAGGTCTGTTTTACCGGGGACAGGCTGGGAGAACAAATGAGAATTAAGAAGAATCTAAAGTCCTATGCTGCTGGTTTTCTAAAATCTATAAATAAACACACTTTCTGAGTAATTTTGTGCAGACTGATCAAGTCAAAAAAGTCTTCTGCTAGTTTATGAAAGTGAAGAAAGGAAGCTTCTAGGGGACCTGCTTCTCCATGGTCATCTGCTGGGCTCTCTGAGCTTCCTCGTTCTTGGCAGTGTGTGAAGAAAAGGGATTGCATATTTTCTGGGAGACAGTGTTGTTGTATTTATTTTAGAATTCTTCTCTTGAATTTTTTTCTGGAGTTAAATCCTTTTAGAACCATCTTATGCAATTCTAGTCTATCTTCCATGTTTACGCCCAACCTTCAGATGTTTATAAACAGATATCAAGCCCGCTTTCGGCCATCTGTTAGCCACGTCAAACAAACGCTAGTCTTTTTAATCTTGTTGCAGCTCCGTCTCCTCAAGCCCTTAATCATTCTCATTGCTCATTTTGATTTTCTAGATGTTCACTCTGGTTAGAGGGACCCCTCACTGAACTCCAGGTGTGGCCTCATTAGCATACTAGACAACGGACTTCTACTTTTTTTAAATTCCCTTTGTAGCATTGTGTTTTGGCTTCACTTCGGCTTCCTAACAATTCATGCTACCCTCACATTCTAATAAGCTTACATGCAATTTTATTTCTTTATTTTAACTTCACAAAATGTTTCTCCTGGTGAACTGTGTCGATCTTGGTTTCCCAAGCACTCATTTTTCAGTAAAAATAGCCAAAATATGAAGGACATCACTTATTTTGTCCCTTTGATG